GTTCGCGGTACATAGTCAATTAAATAACTAATCACCACTGTACCGAAACCCAGCGACGAAAAACCCGATACCAATAAAGCTATCTGTCCAATCGGGCGGAGAGGGTAACCAGATCCTCACCTGTCTAACAGCCAAATTAACCTGTCTGACGGGTGGTTAATCGCAATGAAATGCAAAATCTTGCGGATCAACTTCTTGATTTCACAATGATCGCGTATTCATAAATGGTTACGAGATTATTTTTAAATGACAATCAAAAGATATCAGGTTATTTAAATAAATTTTCAAGTACTAATGTTGTTCATAGTTGATCTTGAAACTTCACCTAGGGTGCATGTCATTTAATATTATGCATCATTTATAAAATCATTTTCTTACGATTACCGCCAAATTCTGTCAACTCCTTTCACTCAATGTTTGAACAATGTTGTACGTGATCACAGGTCGCATGCACAGTAGAACGGCCATCACAGAGCAGATGCCATTTAATGCTAAGCATTTTAGGAATGTCATCTGCTAATACACGCCAAGGTTATAAATCACCTCGTTTCCTTTAAATCCAAATTTAGGCGTGACGTAAGGTACTCCTTTACTTTACTCCAGCGTTTCGGCTTCCGGAACAGACATTATCAGAGAAATTTATCATAACTCAAGAATGCAATATACAATTCAATGGTAAGGTATTATAAAACAGATGCGATATAAAAGACGAGCAAGCAAGGAGTTAAGAAAATCAACGAGTTATTACTTATCTTGGCCATATTATAGATTTTCTAGCAGAACAGATATTAGTAAAGCTGTTGTAGTTGTTGTATATCCTTTTCTTGTCAAGTGAAATATGTCAAGATTCTTCAACGAGCATGATGAGTCGATCTCTTTCACTGTCAAGGATGCTGATGCTGACGTTTTTTCAAATCAAGGTTATGTTTGCGCTCTAACGAATGAATTACAATCCAGGAATGTCCTGGACAATTCCTCCCGACACCATCCTGATATTCTTTTATTCTCACTTTAAAGGTCCTGTATGTTTTACAAACGTAGATTCGATGGCATTCTCAGTTTTCACACTCAATCTGATAAACCTCATCAGATTTGTAATGATTAACTGCAGTATAACTGCCTTATAAAATGAATCCGATCCAAACTGGTTCTATGCTTTATGAAAAAACCGAATGTGTAGTTTTAGACGACAATATTTAAGCGCAGAAAAGACGCCAAAAATTAAACGAAAGAGAAACGACAGATGTTGACTTTTCAGGCTTTTCTGGGGACCGTATTGGGATAAGAGCTAGGTTATCCATTTTTGCGAAACATCCAATTCAATAAGCTAAACTCGCTATCAAGGATGGCAGGTTA